GTGTAGATTTTGAGTATTTCCATAATCTTTGAGTCGCCTGTAATGCTTCGCAATTGCTCGAATTCGAGCAACAGGTACACTAGTAATGGTGATTGCGAAAGCAAGACACTAAGGAAATTGTAGTTGCTTAAATTCAGAGGGTGATTCGGATGAAATCATCAGTATTCTTATGATTAATACTCTTTCTCCCTTAAACCTACCACTGATAATTTTTGCTCTAATCAATTTTGACATCATTTTTTAAATCGTTAGTCTGGTAGATGTACAGCTTAAGTGGATTTAAGTTTCGCATTAGTATTATTGGAGTTCCTTCTTGTAATGACACTAATGTGGTGGGGTGATGACAAATTGAGAGGCATTTGAATACCTACCCGAGATAGCACGCACGATTTTATTCACTTAATAATTTACGTTAGATTATGTGGGTATAGAATGAAAGATAAAAATATTAAGGCATTGTCATCCCTTTTATTGTTTATATTACTTTGATAAAGGTTTTTATGTTTTTAATATTTAACATTGGAGAATTTAAACGTTGTTTAATACATTTGGACTAATTCAAAAGTAAAATAGTTTTCTTCGCTGCACTCTGTAGAAACACTGTGGCACTATTTCAAATCATGACTAATGCTAATACAGAATGTTGTGATTATTCAAACCTGCAAAACAGTTGGTGAAAGTAAACATCTGCTTTTAAAGTATATTTATTTGTAAACATTGTAGATCAAAAAGTCTGACATTGGCCCACATAAAACCCTCTAGGGCAGAGCCCTTTTGACGGATCTGCACCAAACTTCAGTGCTTGAACCATCCTTGAAAGATGCTTAATAATGCCTGAAAGTTTCATTACAATCTGTTGAGTGGTTTCGGAGTCCATAACGTATATACATATATATATACACACATACATCATAGTTCCTCTTTTATAGATAGGCCTAATAAGCAAATTGAACAAAATACAGTTTTGATAAAAAGTAAAAATTTCAATATATGAATATTTTTCCTAAACTTTTTTTTTAGCAACAGTTAACTTTAATTTTCACTAGAGGTCGTTCTTTGGTCGAAAGCTCGACCAAAAATATCTATATTGTTCAGACTTTTGTATTCCCCCCCCCATGCTGTAAATAAGACATGTGATTGGAATTTCTTCCATTTGTTTTGATTTTCTGTTTATATTTTGTTGTTATTTCGTCACTGACATAACAACCCATAAGACCAATGTTAAATTTGTAAAATGTTAAATTCATTTTTTGCGCTTATTTTTGAGCATATTTCAATTTATAAAGGGATTCTGTAAACCTACAGGAAAATATCTTTCTAACAGTATGCATAGATTTTCCCTACGATGCCCACGAGCTGAGAAGAAAGGTTTTAAAGAAACATGCTTGCCTTAATATATAGATAACTCAATAGGATTAGATTTTTAAAATTGGTAATAGCAACCCAGCAGACGCACATGCAGCACACTTGCCTATGTCTGCTGATTTTCTTATAAATCAATTGAGTAATGCAGAAATGTGCTTTTTATTTTAATCTTAGAGTATATTTTATGTATTTTAAAAGTGTGTATTTTGTTCATGCTGTATATTGTATGTAAAATAAACATAAACATATTGTTAAAGAGACATGCTAAAGGACACAGAAGTAATATTGAATTAATTTAAGAAATGACTTACCATATTTCTCAGAACCATGATGGTAACAACCTGTAGTGGAGACAGTTTACCACTTCAATGATGTTATCTAAATCATCACTAAATCAAAGTCCAAATCCCATCTATTTATCAATGTACAAGGGAAAGCTGCTTAATACTGATACTGTGACACTTATAGTTAAACCTAGGCATCTGGACCAAGCTATCCTTAATAGCTCTAGTTCTAATTGAACAACAAATTAATTTTATAGTAGAAATCAATCAATAAGTGTCCACTAAGCACTAATATTTCCCAATCACATAAGATTATTGTTCTAACCTAATTTAGATTATAATAATAAAATCTGTTAAATTCTGTACTGTATCAGTGGTAGTTTCCAAATGGGTGTAGTATTAATAATATTATTCATATTCATAATATATAACCAGGCCAATGTTAAAATTTGAAAACTTTGAGTTAAGGCCGCATTATCAAAAATTGGAATTTTGACGTCTCAAACCTTCCAAACATTTGTCGAAACAACCTTTTTAAGGTTGGCTAAAATATGTTAAGCCATTATTAAATGATAGTATTAGAAAGTTTGCAATGAAGCCGATTCCGATTCCAAAGAGCTTCGCTTAGCTACGCTCAACAAATTTTCAATAAAGACATCCATCCGTAATAGCAGGACTTGAGGCGGTCCATTCCAAAACTCACAATGTCCTTATTTTAAAAATTTTCAGGAAATGAAAAAAAAACTTTTAATTAATTATCCTGACAGTGAATTATTATGTTTTGTTTCATCTGAAGTGAAATATATGAGTCTTTGTGTATTATTGCATGCCTTTTCGTCCTATTATCTGTAGTTTTTGAGAAAAATAAGTTGTAAATGTGGATAAAGTAAGTTTTGCCCTGACACAAATTGGATAAAGTTATAATTTTGCTCTGACTATGGATAAAACTATGGATAAAGTTGGTTTTGGAAAGACAGTACCTATTTACACTAGGATGGCATAACAGTAATCAGTTTGGTTTTAAACAATACAACAAAATATTAAGATAATAGACCTAATAATGTGGCTTGTAACCTTAATATGTTATGTTTTTTAAAGTGGTACTTACTGGAAATGCTATAAAATTATAAAAAACGTTTCATGAATTGTTTTAATTTTACAGTAAAAGAATTGCCATACAGAAGTAAAGGTCATTAGACGTTCTCTGGACTAATGTTAAAATGAAAAGTGAGAAACTTACTTATGTTAACATCTTTCAAATTAATTGGTTGGTACTTTAAGAGCAAGAATGCCCTTCTAAACTACAAAACTGTCATCCTGAGCAGGGATCCTTCACAAATCACAATGACTACACTCCTCATGTGGTACAGTAGTCAGACGACAGAGCCAAAATGACAACAAAACAAAGTCACATGACTGAATTCAGGCCACCGATTGGGTAAAGCCGGGTTTTCCTAGGCGCGGAATCGGCGAGCGGAGAGAGGAACGCGGAGAGCGGACTCCACTTGTCTTAAGCTGGGTTTTCCTAGACGCGGAGTCGGCCAGCGGAGAGCGGACAACGGAGAGCGGAATTGAAATTAACATGGCATTCCGCTCCGCTGCTAGGAAAACAGTAACATTAAATTACCTAAGACAAGCTGAGTCCGCTCTCCGTTGTCCGCTCTCCGCTGGCCGACTCCGCGTCTAGGAAAACCCAGCTTTAGGCAATTTAATGTTACTGTTTTCCTAAAAGCGGAGCGGAATGCCATGTTAATTTCAATTCCGCTCTCCACGTTCCTCTCTCCGCTCGCCGACTCCGCGCCTAGGAAAACCCGACTTAAAAGGATAAAGATGGTTTTGGAAAAACAACAAATAATACACCCTCCTTGGCTGGGGGATTATGTGAGTTTTCGAATCATACAACCGAAATAAAGTGAGATTTTGGAAATTATAACATTAAATAATAGTAGGATTAAACAAGATTTGACACGATATTTTATAGCAAATAAATGCACCTTTTCTGCTGAATGCAGTCATACCATTAAATCAATTAAAAAAAAGGATAAAGTGAGTTTTGGAATGGACCGCCTCACTTGTAATGATATACACATTTCTAGCAATAGATAAAACATCATACCCCTCAAGGACTCCTCAACTCCGAACTCAAACTCTTAACTCCTCAAACTCCTCCTTGAGGAGTATGTTTTATCTGTGGTAAAACTCAAAAATGTTTGCCTCTGTTTCAGTTTCAGGTTTCAAATTATTCAATGCTTTGTCTGTTAGCATTCGAAACATATTAAGCATACTTTGACTATATTCATTGGGTTCTTGAATTAATTGTTACATTATTTGCCCTTTAAGAAAATCGTCAAAACTTAGAAAGGATTTGTTAATAGCCAGTTCTTTAAGTCATCGCTTTTTTCAATTTCAATAATTTTTATTTTTTTATATATTTATTTGCATGGCTTGCTGTTTGGACTTGGGAAGTATTGTTTGGTTTGTTTTATATATATTTAGTTATAGTGAATTGTATATAAATGTTTTAGTTAATGTACTTGCATGATGTAGCACATTGTGGAAAGGAAACTGAATGGCCAAATAGATCCTTGAATTTTGAAATCCCTTGTGCTGATTAATCCATGGTAGAAATTAAGAAAAGTAAAAGTGCTGAGTTCTGCAGTTGCATGATAAATACAAGAAACCTGCTTTGAAACAGACTGGACAAGAGAGGGCAAAAATAAGGGTCTGACTTAGGGGAGGTACGAATGAGGCATTTAGTTCAAAATTCCTCCGCGAACAGCGCTGTAGTAGAGAGCACTTTGTCAATGAAGGTTTACTATTCGCAAAAATAGTTCTGTTCATAAAATAAAATTATAAATGCCTCAAATTAAATTTTATAATTTTTTATTTATAAAATTAAACTATCATAACCTAACCGAACTAACCAAACTTGCTGATAATTAAATAATATAAAAAAGATTAGTAATAGAAAAAATAATTATGTTTATTAAATAAATCTAGACATTGCTCAATTAAAATTTTATAATGACCTAATAATAAAATTAAACTGTCATAACCGAACCAAACCAACCAAACTTGCTGATAATGAAAAAATCTGAGACAAATAGTTAATGCAACCAGCGAGATTCGAACCCGGGACCTTTTGCACGCCAGCCCGGCACGCTAACCACTAGACCACCGAAGCCGTTGTCCACACTCCGTATTGTTACGGTAATAGCGTTCCCTCAGCTAATAAGAAGCCCACAGCTGTCATCGTAGCCTCTTCCGTACCTCCCCTGAGTAAATACCCAAAAGTAAATAAGTCCAAAACAAATTGTTTGCACTTTTGTAGAGGTTATGTTTATGTTTCGTTCGTCTGAAATTTATTTTCCTGTTTAGGCCTATATTGTTTGAGTGGGAGATCTAAAACAAAACAAGTTAATAATCGTTCTCGTACTATAGGCTACGTCGGCTTAAAAATTTTGGTTAGAGTGCAAGCCAAATTATAAATGTGAGGTAAACTGATTACTGACTGAATCAAAACTAAGGAAATGTTACCGAATCATAGAGGAATTAATAGGTTAAACATGTCTCACAAGAATTTTAAAAACTGAAGGAATTCTGTTTAGTTAGTTATAAAAACATAAATTACAGTCAATATGGTAAAGTTATTCCTATGGTTTTAAAGGTAAGATGAAAAACACCGCCAAGTTAATAAGCCATATAGTAATTATTGATAACTTTTATCCTAGGTAGTAGGCAGGACAACTCATACTGTAGCATAGATTTAAACATAGTGCACTGTTATATAAGTAGGCCTCGGCCTAACCCCTAACAAAAACACATGATAAAGCCAATATTGTTCATCTTGAATTCCGAACTTATTTTATTTTAACAGGTTGCTCTTTGATTTAGTCTTTTTACTTTCAATTGTTAGGCCTAGGCCTACTATCCATCACCTGAAAATTGTGTAGGCTAACTTATTTAGCTTTTTTGCTGCAGGTTTGGGTAGACTTCCGTATCTGTTGTCAAAAACCACCGAATGAAAGTATCGATTGATATAGGATCGTTTGGTTAACTTAGTTGCGTTAACCTACATCGAATAATTTTTCATTCGGTTGTTTTTGACATCAGATACGGAAGTGTAAATTTACCCCAGGTTTTTGCTGACCCATAAGTTTTTAATAATGTAGGCCTACTGGTGCATTGTTTATTATTTATATTTTTTATTTTATATTAATTATTACCGTAACTTATTTAACTTAAGTTATATATAGGTCTTACTTATATTAGCACAGGTCCTACAAGGCTTCTACGTAAAATTAGGCTATATACTAACTTATTTGCAATTGTGTAGGATAGGGAAAGCCTTTATTTTAGTTCCTTCCAAAATAAAATAGGCCTACGGTAACATAAATTTCCAAAATGTGCACTAAAAAGTTCTGCTTACATTTGAACATTTAATAGCCTACGTGACTTCAATGGGCTTTTTAAATAGGTACCAACCAACAGTCAGTAATTAGCGGTATTGTTTTTCTAAAGTAAGTTACCGGTACCAAATAGAATCTTTGTTCCAGAATGCGATTCAGTCCGTCACGTTTACTGTCATGTCTGTGTTTGTTGATGGGGCTTCTACTGACGTGGACTTTGCTGCGTCATTCACGATCATATACACAAACCTGTCATCATTCAGAAGCTTTCCAAGATGGCTTACACGCCCTCTCTGACAGGTAACTTAAGTTGTGTGATAAGTGCTGTATGCTCATTTTTTTATCTGTCCATATCAAATTACTAACTAGGTTAGGTTTTGATGCTGCTCAGGATTTAGGCATAACTTAGATTCCGACTACGTTAACTAAAATCAAGATTCAGCAATTAAGTTATATCATAGTTATAAACTCATTTTCAAATACTGTACGGTAGTTGTATTGTTTACAGAGTTCACAGACTGCTTGCTAGTCTTGGAATCACTCATTTTCTGTGTTACGGGGCTCTATGGGGTCAGCTGAGATTGTCTCGTACATTACCATGGGAGAGAGACATAGAGCTGTGTGTGCTCAACGAGGAGATTGCTCTCAAAGATGAGGTAGGTACAGTGACATTTCACATTATCATGTTGTAATGCAGTAGTAGCAATATTACAGCACTTTAGTTTTCAGTGTTTCCCTACTTCTCAAACAAGCCCTCTACTGTTTGATGGATTTAATATGGTTTTATTTTTACTGATTCTTACTCGACTAATTTGAGCTGTGCTGTAGCTATGCACTAAAGGAGTTCATCAGCTTTAGGAGTTTATTCCATCTATTACCGTAGTGAATTTTGTTGGAACTAAACTATATGATGATTGTTGCAGTTATTCCTAAAATTAGATTCCTGAAAGTTAAAAAAGTTAAGTCTATGATTTATAATTGTAGTGAAATTGGAATTTATTTTTGAACTAAAACATATTTTAAAAGATGTCTAGTAAAATGCAATGATTTTACCAGATTACTCACCTCAAGTGTTCTTCTGGAAATCATTGTAATTTTCATGGGTTTGTTTAGGTGTTTCTGGAGCGTCAGTTCAGGAAAAACAATATGCAACTGGTGTACGATTCAACTGATGGTAAATACAGAGTAACAGACACAACAGTGCCAGATGCTAGGATAGAGCTGATTGTATTTGAAGAAGATCCCATGGTATGTGTTTTGTTGTCAGGTTGTAGATGTAAGTTAAACATACTGCCTCTTAAATTTAACATCCTTATCAAACAGCTGAAGGCAATCTTAAGGTGAGCACTGTCTGATTTAAGTAGGGGGGGAGCATGATGTTTACTATTTTTTTCTTTGTATTTCAAATATAAAAAAGGTTTTTGCCAAATGATTCACAATAGCTATTTCCTGCCACTGCATGGGAATTATCACATTGTCACATCTTTTAGTAAACATAACATAGTTTATTAATTCTGCTTTTATTCGACCGCTTCCTAAATCTACTGATTTCATTTTTTGTGTTTCTATAAAACACTAACATCAACAGTAAGCAAGTAACATTTAACCTAAAAAAGCAAACATAACTTAAATTACATTTCATAAACAACCAAAAAGTTAATCTGTATGTTATGATAAGTTAATTATTGTGATAAGAAAAATATTGTTATTATGAGTACAGTCATTGCCCCTCTCGAAATGTATGGCCGCCCTCAACTGAAGTTTCCTGCAGCCAACAACAGCTCTTGAGCAGCAATCACGTAACTTGCGCTTTTAATACACAAATAGCAATTCTTCCATTGTTATAAAGGAAATCACAAATTTACCAATAAAATATAAACATTTATTCATCAACACCCGCTTAACGTTACCAATAAGGGAGCTATAGCCTCCTCTAACACAAACAATGTGGGACATTGCGCTTGCCTACCTATTGCCATGGCGTAGTAACAGTAATAAAAAACAGATGAACATACAAATTCCATAGGCCTATGCTCCATATGAATTAGTGCTACAGCAGTTTTGGTAGGCCGGGACTGTGGCATTGCTACTCGCCACGGCTTTGTATTAGAGGAGGCTATTATGGAACATGCATAAAAATTGGCTTCAAATGTTAAATTTGGATGAAAATTTACTAGCGTATTCCAAATTCAATGATGTGAATTAGAAAATTCTAGGAAATAAAGCTCACTTATTATTTTAACCAATTTTCCCAAAGGGGAAGAAGCTAAACACTTAATACACTCAATGTATGTGTGTTGATGAAATAGGATAAAAACAACTGTTCAAAACGTAGAAACAGCAAAACATTGTCAAGACATCACTGTCTTTGGTTCGAAGTTTGTGGCATCTTACATAGTTCGGCTGAGCCACCGAATCACCAAATTTCATGTTTTTTCATCTTCATTACTTTTAATTGTCTAAAATGTTAATCTTTTCTTATTTGTCAAATCCTAGCCATCGTGAGGTGGACATTTAGATATTTTTTTACTGAAACCTCAATTTAAATTATTAGAGTCCTGAATGTTTATGATCGTTATACTATTTCTGCTCAGGTCGGTATGCTGCGCAGAGTTGGGTGGAAGAGACGAGTTCTGCCGTCTGACTGTGAGTCCCTTCCCTCGCTCAGTTGTTTCCCCCCTCGTCTGGTCAAAGCCCCCCTCCCCTCTCGGGAGTTTGGTGGCTACATCGTCCCTGTCCCTCGTGAGGGCATCGAGATACAAAAGTACCACTATCCCGACAACTGGTGGAAGGAAGTGCTGCCTAAAAACTGTTGAATCGAACAAAGTTTGATTGTTATTAATATATTGTTTACATTCAATTTAAAATTGAATTCATTCAAAAGTTTCATTGGATTGGATCCATTCCAAGTTTGTGATGTACCTTTAGAGCCAAAAAAAGGTGTAGACAGAAAGGGGTGTAAAAGATAAACTATGCACTAAGTTGATTTTAATACCGTTTGGTTTTGCACTGAAATAAAAGAATGTATGCAATGGATTGCCAGATTATAGTTCCTACATAGAATCCAGGAAAATATTGACAGTATGGTTAAGTTTATTTGCTTGTAATTAATTACACCTAGATTGAATTACCAAATAAAAATAGATCTGACAAAGCAAATGTAATTTGTAATACTTTTTGTTTTGACTATTGAACATTAGGATGATTCTAATCTTTATATTGGTAGATCATAAAAGTGTGGATTAATGAGAAATACGGCCTATTTCGATTTGACAGAATTTTCTAGTGTATAAACAAAAAGAGATTGATGAAAGATATTGAAATGGGCAGGGAAACCAGCAGTTACCTATTTATATAGAAAATCTTAAGAACTGAATATGACCCTGAAAGGCTGAAGGCGGAAATCAATAATCATCAACCATTTTGTCATATCAAAACGGTTTTATCGAGTTTATTTAATAATGCATGTAGATGCCAACCTGAAAAGTAGTTGTAGCTTAGTCTAGAAAGTTGACTCCTTTTTTGGACACGTGACATTTATTATAAACCCTATTCTAGTCATTTAAACTGTGAGAAAGGTATGTGTCTGTATATTTTTAGTCAGTGCTTTTATTATGAATATTAGATCAAATTTTTTCTCAACAAAATTAGTATCAAAATGTAGATTACATTTCACACTTTTGTTATTGTTATTTCTTTGAGATTTATGAATTACCCATGAGATATTGTAATTTGTTTGTTGTTTGACATTTTATTAAATTGATTCAAAAGTACCATACATTGTAGGGTTAGCTTAGTTTGTAAATAGTAGTTTACGCAACGATTGCGTTAAGTGAGTCTTTACGACACGAGTAGAAAATTTAAGGCACGAGCCTTGGCGAGTGCCTTAAAAACTTCTACGAGTGTCGTAAAGACTATTAACGGGAGTTGCGTACACTACTTTACCTACCACCGTTTTTTAATTACTATCAATCTGGATTTAATTACTAACAATCACTACTGATAACTTTTTAGAGAGGTTATGTTTTCGTGTATTGTCATTGCCACTGAAAGTGATGCAACGACTTGTTGTATAATCAGCTGATTTCCTGTAATTACGTGTTTGTTAAACTTCGTTAAATATTACATTGCTAGCAGCATTCTTACCATAAATAATATTGTATCAGGTACAATTCGGCAAATATTTAATTTATTTTTGGACTTCCACCAACTTATTTAAGAATACGCGAGTATCAACATGAACAAGTCGGATCAACAATTAAATTGGTCAACTGATCAGCTGATCAGCTGATAAGTTGACGTTCGAAGCATTACAATTTTAATTCTTTTCTCTCAATACTTGAACCTCATTGGTCCGTTACCTGTGTGGATATGAGAAAACTATGCGGATATGAAATGAAACTATGCGGATATGAAAGTAAACAGCTGTAAAGTGGAACTTTTCAATTCTAAGAACTGGACTGAAACGGCTATTTTAAAAAACGGTCGTAGGTAAAAGAAGATTGTTTAATATGTTTACCTTCTAATAAAATCCAAAACGGTTAAGAAATCAGTTTGTATTTTAAACTATGATATTTCTAAAGTTTAGGGAATGCAGTATTGTTATTTTTAATCTTTTTGATACATACTCAACATGTTTATATTGAATACAGTGCTCTATTTGTAAGAATATAGGTGCCAGAACTTTAACCTATTTATAATATTTTTATCCATCCGAGAGAGGTACCGGAATCTAGTGGCTATATTTATTTTTAATACCCACTTAACATTTTCATATATTCATTATTTAAGTATATTTTTACATTAGGTTGGACATGGATTTAAAAAAAGGTTTATTGCCACTTTAATTGTGATACAAATTTTGAAATGTACTGACAGTGTATGGTGTAGGCCCATTATTATTATTTATTTAAGTAGGCCTATGTGTATAAACCAAAGATTTGTTCAAATAGTAATTGTAGAGGATCATTTTATGATAAAAAACCTTCTTATAAATGTTTTATTTCTTCATTGATAGTGAGCTAGCATACGTTTAAGATATTAAAATTCAATATAGATCTGTAAGTGCTTCTTTAGGCTTATAATATGACCATTATTTTGTAACTGTGAAGAACAAAATAGTTTCTTTATTGTGCTTAATTTTATACTCTATACAGGGAGATTTTCATATTTGTAACTAAAGCAACAATAAAGTGAATTTGCAATTAGAATGTTGTACTACTGAGTTTACATTGCCTCTCTAACTTGCTAATTGAATTAGTAAACAATGATTAGAAAAGTTGGGTTAGGTTATTGTGTATGTCTCTTGCGCGTGGAGGGGGATAGAGTATAGAGTCATTCAGATCTGCTTCCTCACATTCGTACCCAGAGATATTAACGTTTAATGTTAGGAACATGTTCTGCAAAAATAAATTGAAAACATTTACTTCCTGAGGAAACCTTTGTATGATTTGCCAGATTCATTTTAAAATTTGCTAATCAAAGGCCCTACTAATCATCATTGGTGTAAAAATCTGGTTTTACTTTGGGGTTTGGCTCTGGCGCTTGTATTTCCAGTAACGCAAACAAAATTTATCAGACTTTCATTCATAATGTGTTGCGTTCACATTAGATTTCACAATAAATGCTGTTTGCCAGTGGGTGAATGTATACACTGTTGGGTTGAACCTGATTGGGTTTTGATGCTCTCTACACAATTCTCTGGAATCCAACATTTTCTAGAGAAACCCTGGCAAGGACCCAATATTTAAATACAATTTATTGCATATAGCACTGACATAAATTACAGGAATTTATAACAACAGTTTTGTTAGCTTATTAAGTATACATTTATTTACAATTATACAATAAATATACTCTATCTACAAAATTATCATAAGAATTACCATACCATAGAATAAATATTGTAATGCATCACTTTTCCAGGGAATAAATAAATAAAAAGTATGGGACCAGAACTCTGTGGACATGTTAAATGAAAGTAAATAATTTTAGCTAAAAAATATTTTAATTTTTAATCAATAAAATATAAGATATAAAATTGTCAGTAAACTTGGTTGTTGCCGTTCTCCGTTTTGAAAATAATACATTTAATAATAGCCGACCACTCTACAATTGTTTATTATTACGAACAATCACAACTTAACTCTCCAACAGTGTTGTATCACACGTGTGATTTGTGTCTGTTCAATCAGTAATACTTTTTGTTTGTTATGAGTTTATGTTCCATATTATTTAAATTGTTGAAAACTTCTGACCAACTCCACAATGATTTGTAAATAACGTAGCTAGCATTCTGACATAAAAATGCTTCAATATTTTTTCTGCCTTTTAAGTCATAACACTTGAACTAATACTCTAAACACAAAATGTTCTTTTTAAAATAAAATTTTCTTAGATAGACCAACTTTAATTTAGAATAATAAGAACAAATGATGAAGTGAATAAAAAAAAGACAAATATTCATTAGGTTTTTATAGTTTTCCCCAATAATATGTCCAGAGGTAAAAAAAAAACCATTACTGAAAAAGCTTCTTGATTTTTCACAAATATTAATTCTGAAATTATTTTATGTTGTCTTGCAATACTTATTCCACAATATGCCTTAATACTAGATTACAGTGCGCTGAACATCTAAAAATAACAAATTCTTCAACATCGAAGAAAAAAGTATAATAAATTTAACTCACAAATGAAATAAACCCAGAAAGCTTACATTCACAAATATAGCTAACTAAGCCAGTAAATTGGCTAACACTTGACAAAATTAAAGTTCTTTTATCTAAATGACATAATTCTTTGCCTGTGATTTCGAAGGGGGGGAAATCCTAGACATGATCTTATGAACAGAGCTGAAAAAAATTTATTGTACGGGATTTCTGTTTTTAAAGGGTCTAATTGTTTAACTAATTAAATAGATAAAACTAGATTCTCTGACTATCATAATACTGCATTTAAATCCTAAGCAAGTACTATCTAAATATTTTGAATCTTTAGAAAGTTAAATCTCTAAAACTATTATTACTGTACTAGTTTAGTTGATAATTTAGCAGAAATTCCAGCATAACTATTTTAACAGTAACTGTGTCTAAAAACGTAAAATAATTGTTCAACAGGCTAGGAAAAGTCCTATATAAAAATCATTGAATTATGCTACTCATCTGACAAATCCTTTGAGCTAACACAACCTTTGAAATGGTTTGTATTTACATTTAAAATAATTTATGTTGTATGAGTCACTTTTATAAGTAAAATATTCTCTGTTATTGTAACATTGTAGAATTCATAAATATACAAATACTTTGTTGAAATTATATTTATTGGAAGCACAAAATTGAAAGCTCTATGTTTAATATGAACAATTAAAATATCAGGAGAATACATAGCAGCTTTAGAAAAAGAACAGACAAATATCTGAGCTATTTAAAACTTTTGTTAGATAATCTAAGTGCTATACAAAGACACATTTACCACCTACTTTAAAAGTTTACAAAATGTTTGTCTCAAAAAGGTAAGCTTTCTGTGGACACTGACATTTAACAAATAAAATAGCTCCACAATAACAGGTTTAGATCGTAACACTTGGTCTATGATCGGGTTAATACTGATTCAATTGAACGTATTTCAACATTGACTGGAATTAAGTCCCACGAAGCAACACATGTCGGGCACGTCTTTCAGGCAGTTTTTTTAGTTATGTTTAATATCTCTATGTGAAGGTATGTTTTGTTTGATCTTTAAGAGCTCAAACTGTTTAAATATCCAAACTAAAGCAAATCATGCCACAAGTCTGCCAGAAAAATTAAAACATGACATATAAACAAAAACCTGTTAAAGAAACAATATCTTACATTAAGAGCACATCAGTCACTCACTCATTTAATATTTACACTTTTATTTGTTTTAGTGAGAAGGTTTTAAAATATGTTACTGTGGAGCCAAGCAACATGAAACAGCAAGACTTTGGTAAAAATACTTAGTTTCTTATGGTGATCAGTTGATTTAATTAACTTGAAGTTTTTTAACCCTCCGAGCGTCACTTGTCGAAAAATCGACTCACGACACACTTTGTGTAGTGTCACTTGTCGATTTTTCGACACACGAACATCGTTTACGGTGAAGGCTCTATGACTGACTGAATCGGATTTAACTGAATCGAGTTAGGTATCGTTCTTTTTGTTAGATTCAGAGCTTTCTCCGGAGGTCTGTCTCTAAGCGCTATTGATTTTAGTTCCGAAAATATTGTAGCAGACAGCTGACGTGCGTATTTGTAAACAGCTTGGTTAACCTCGGACCGATGACTGATGTGTTTTATTACGTTTATCATTGTTTTAGTGTTAAAAATCGAAAGTAGTGATATACGTGGTACATTATAAGAAGATTTAAGTGATTTTGAAGGGCTGGTTGATGATCCTGAAGAAGTAGGTAGTGATATTGATGTAAATTATCAGCCGGATTCCTAGCTATGGTTAGGCTATGCATTCATAGCTAAACGCTATGTACTGAAATCTGTTTTTTGCCCATAACTTATTTATTTGCAAATCTACTTCCTTATATTATTATATATTTGTAATCCTCATAAAATTTAGAACAAAGTGGCTATTTTCAAATATTTATAGGCCTATAATTTATACAATTTCATTGAGCGCGAACTTATTTTTTTTTTGAAAATTTTCCAAAATATTTTTTTTTACCTAAAAAAATTTTTTGAAACAAATGTTCCTTATGTTTTATGTATAATATTGAAGCCCATGATTTTCCAAACAAAATGGTATATAGAACAGTAGAATTAACATCAAGCTGATTAAGCTTCTCAGATCCGTTTTAATAAAACCTTGCAAATGCGCCAAAAATAGGCGGACATTAAGGCCAAAACAAGGGACACTCGGGAGGGTTTTAATACTTCAAGAGTAATTTATCAATACTGTAATTATTTTAAGCAATTTAAAAGTAAGTGAATACAATAAAAATAATGTTGATTTTTATGTACAACGAGTCATCTTCACAAATATACAAACAAAAAAACCTTTGTAAATGATCTCAAAGGAAGAAAAGTTATCTACAGACAACATTATACATCATTAGGCATCTTGCAATAATTAACTCTATAAGATGCAGCTTTTTAGCGAATTTCCCATATAGAGAATAAGCTATTTTATATGGCGTGTAAGATATGAAAATATCTTGTAAAAACAGTTTTAGGCTTTTTAAAACCAAGTTTGAGCTAATTGTTAGGTAAAGTAATGGTTAAAAAGATAAAATTCAATTGGGAAAAGGGAGAAAATAGTAAAAAAATGATAACAATAATTTTTATATTTAACCTTTTGTTTGTGTTTTTCTTTTGTTTATCTACTATTGCAAGAGCCATACGTTTAAAAATTGCTTTAACTACTAGGAACATTAAAAATAGTTTCCTGGCTTCTATTGAAAAACTATACTAAAATTATTGTACTTATGCATGTGTTATATGTGACAGGTATGAAACTTAAAAATAAGTATTAGAAATGAATTATTTCAGAATAGTCTATGATATATTATGTATTGAGCAAATAGAAAGAAAAAAGCTAATGTGGACTAGACATATTACCAGTATCCTGCACATTTTAAATCATAATTTATACAAATAGTTAAACAAATAGCCAGCTCTTAATCTTTTTCCTATATGGTAAAATGTAATGTAATGTGAACTAGTTATAAATTTCAACAAAAATACTGTGATTACTTTAACAGTGAAATCTGCCACGTATCTCTACTAAAATCTTCCTAATAATAACAATAAAAAGTTACCTCATGAATCTTGAAATAAAACTATATTTATCTCCTGAATATATAGGCCTACTGCAGATAAAAACGTGAAGACCTACCTCTATCGCCAATAAAATAAATAATCTTTCAAAATAATTCTGAAATAATAAAATCTCAATTTAACCTTGAACATTAACTATTCTAGCCTGACTGTCTAGAATATTCTACTTTTAATTGTGACAGTAATTTCAGAACAGTACTGGAGCAAAATATGTGAAAACTATTTAATTTTTTATTTAACTCTCAATACTACAACTAAAATAACAAACAGAAACATTATCGATTATTTTTAAGGATAAAAGAGACTAAGAGAGACATTACCTCAGAATGAAACTACTTAATCTAAAAAAAGGGGATTTTAGTATGGTAACATCTAATGACTAGATTGTGAAAACCAATA